TACTGAATATATAAGCATATAAATTGAACACACACACCGATACATATATAGACAAGTGAATAAATATACATACAGAACTACTTATCAACACTCACATACCCCCCCCCTCCAGATTTATTTGAGCAATTTTTGGGTGCAGGGGCGGGTCCAGAGAATTTTCTCATGAACTAGGATGTAACAACAATAATCTGCCGGGGGGGGGGGGGGGCGAAAAGTAACAAAAAGTAAGGCTGCCCACTTCAATATTTATGTCGTACAGTTACTCATTGTTTATGTTTTCATCTTGTTTTCCTGGCCATTAAATCTGCTGGGTGTACTTTACCAAGTGATAGGCTAACACACAGAACAGGATAGAGGAGTTTGGTGCTTCTAGCTCTGTGCAGTGAACATAGCAGTGTTCATAATTAGTTTAATCATCACATAAATTCTTGCAATGTAACGACACTATTCTATAATAATAGCAAAATATAAATTATATATATATAATAAAAATATAAAATAGAGTTAGAAATAGAATAAAAATCTCAGTGTTCTGTGCAATTATGAGTTTTGATAAGACTAAGCACAATCATCACAATGAAATTTCGAACAGCAACAATATATCTTTGCTTTGCTTCCGTCTTAATGTGGAGCGTCGATAAAGAACTTTACACAGTGATTGACAGTACGACGAGTCAATGACCATGGGGGGGGGGGGGGCACACACGGTGTGGCCAATCAGATTGCAGGAGAGGGACCTGCAATCATAACCATTACATATTTCTTGTTTTTTCAATTATATTGTTTTGTCGGTATGTGAGCTACCTTCTGTTCACTCTGAGGTGAATTTTGATCCCTATGTCTGTGTGCATGAGGATATGTATATGTGTATATGTGCGTATAATTGTAAGGGATATAATGTGTATTGGAGGTAATGCCGAAAATGACAAATAAAAAATAAACAAACCAGTATAAACAGAAAAACACGTTCGCTATTAGTTCATATTGCAGTAGTGTTTCAATATTCAACATGTACACACGAGCGTGCGCTTGTATGTCTATTTACACGAATGCCAACTTTTCTGTATAAGATATACATTAAATACACGTTGAAATGCAATAATCTTTAATCAAAAATGAGTGTACATCATCGAGACAGGTAAAGGAGACTTCTGTTTGCCTATATTAGGTGAACGATATTCCTTAAACAGCCACTTTAGCCAAAGAAGAGCCAGCCAAAAGTGATGGTGGAGCCAGTGGGGAGCGTGAGCGTGGTGGTGAAGCACGTGGGAATGAAACACAGCAGGACGCAGCGGGTGAAGGTGACGCTCACTTGACGACGGTCTTGAACTGTCATTCTGTTCTTCAGTGACCAGTTTGTAAACGGGAAGGTCGCCACAAGAAGTTGGCAAGATCCGAGCCGATCTCCTCCTCAGGATTGTCAAGGGAAACAGCGGAAACTCTGACGTCAGACTCAACCTCATGCCATCATCCTGATGCCTTTGATGAAGGCTACTTGTTGCTGAAAGATTTAAATAGTGTGGTACGTAATACTTGTGGGTCAAGTCACTGAGATGGATATATAACTTTACGTTATTGTTTTCTTGAACTGATAATGCATGAGGAATTCTTCAATTTGCTCAACTGTATGAATTCAGTATTTAATGACCCGGAGAAATAACCAGTTTATGAACTTCGCAGGGTCTAGCAGCATCTCGAGTTGTGTCCCAGGAAGCGTGTTACGTGAGGCGACTGGTTAAATCTTTCGAGCAACAAGTAGCCTTCATCAAAGGCCATCAGGATGATGGCATGAGGGTTGAGTCTGACGTCAGAGTTTCCGCTGTTTCCCTTGACAATCCTGAGGAGGAGATCGGCTCGGATCTTGCCAACTTCTGTGGCGACCTTCCCGTTTACAAACTGGTGAGTGAAGAACAGAATGACAGTGTTCAAGACCGTCGTCAAGTGAGCGTCACCTTCACCCGCTGCGTCCTGCTGTGTTTCATTCCCACGTGCTTCACCACCACGCTCACGCTCCCCACTGGCTCCACCATCACTTTTGGCTGGCTCTTCTTTGGCTAAAGTGGCTGTTTAAGGAATATTGTTCACCTAATATAGGCAAACAAAAGTCTCTTTTACCTGTCTCGATGATGTACACTCACTTTTGATTAAAGATTATTGCATTTCAACGTGTATTTAATGTATATCTTATACAGAAAAGTTGGCATTCGTGTAAATAGACATACAAGCGCACGCTCGTGTGTACATGTTGAATATTGAAACACTACTGCAATATGAACTAATAGCGAACGTGTTTTCTTGTTATACTGGTTTGTTTATTTTTATTTGTCATTTTCGGCATTACCTCCAATACACATTATATCCTTACAATTATACGCACAATACACATATACATATCCTCATGCACACAGACATAGGGATCAAAATTCACCTCAGAGTGAACAGAAGGTAGCTCACATACCGACAAAACAATAGAATTGAAAAAACAAGAAATATGTAATGATTATGATTGCAGGGCCCCTCTCCTGCAATCTGATTGGCCACACCGTGTGCCCCCCCCCCCCCATGGTCATTGACTCGTCGTACTGTCAATCATTGCGTAAAGTTCTTTACCGACGCTGCACATTAAGACGGAAGCAAAGCAAAGGATATATTGTTCCTGTTGAATTTCATTGTGATGATTGTGCTTAGTCTTATCAAAACTCATAATTGCACAGAACACTGAGATTTTTATTCTATTTCTAACTCTGTTTTATATATTTATTATACATATATATAATTTATATTTTGCTATTATTATAGAATAGTGTCGTTACATTGTAAGAATTTATGTGATGATTAGCCAAAACTAATTATTACACAGAACATTGCTATGTTCACTGCACAGAGCTAGAAGCACCAACTCCTGACTAAATCCTGTTCTGTGTGTTAGCCTATCACTTGGTAAAGTACACCCAGCAGATTTAATGTGGCCAGGAAAACAAGATGAAAAAAAACAATGTGTAACTGTACGACATAAATATTGAAGTGGGCAGCCTTATTTTTTGTTACTTTTGCCCCCCCCCCCCGGCAGATTTATTGTTGTTACATCCTTGTTCATGAGAAAATTCTCTGGACCCGCCCTGCACCCAAAAATTTTCTCAAATAAATCTGGAGGGGGGAGGGGGTATGTGAGTGTTGATAAGTAGTTCTGTATGTATATTTATTCACTTGTCTATATATGTATCGGTGTGTGTGTTCAATTTATATGCTTATATATTCAGTAATACATAAACATAAACGCACACGCATGGACATATTTACATAAATATATGCAAACACAAACACCATACATAATATAAATGTGTGTGTGTGTGTGTGTACATACATACATATATATACAAATACATATATATATATATATATATATATATATATATATATATATATATATATATATATATATATATATATATAAACATGTGTATTCTTTCTTACTTCATCCATAGATTTGTGTACAAATGGATTGTTTTGCGAACATCATGTAAATATATGATTTATTTCTTTTTATTCTCTCTATCGTAATGTCACCATCACGTTCTGATATATGACGCACACACACACACATATATATGTGTGTTTATGTGTGTAGATGTTTATACATATATGGATTTGGGCTTATCTATAGTGTGTGTATGTATGTATGTATGTGTCGCGGTCCGCTAAGTTGTAGATGTCAGCCTCCAGTAGAATTAAGCTACGGAATTCTACGGGCTGCCCAGCCTTGTTTCACTGTCTCCTTATGACCTGATATTTGTCCGCACCTTTGGCAGGGTTGCGGTCTGACACTGGTCAAGGCAACTGACCAGAAAGGGAAGCTATGAGTCTCTTATGGTACGACAGGCTTTTCCTGTACAATGCAATCAGTATGAATGTATAAAGATTTTATCATCAAAGTCTCTAGCCCACTCTTTCATAATTCGATCACGTTTGCTATGTCTTTGAAGCATCGAAAAGAATTCATATGCGTGCATGTGTATGTGTATATATGTATATTATATATGTGTATTAGCGTTCGGATGTCTGTGAATGCGTGTATGTGCGCGAGTGTGCATGGGTGCGTATTATGATTACATATGTGTGTATGTGTTCATCTTGTGAGTGCGTGTGCATGTAGGTGTATGTGTGCTTGTATGTATATGTGTGTGTGTGTGTGCGTTGAACGAGGGTGGGATTGTTTGAGTGAGTGTGAGAGAGTACGAATGTGAAAGGATACGATGTTCATTTTGTGTGCACGTCATGTTGTATAATGATGTGTGCGTGAGTGTATCAATTTGTGTGCATGAATAAATAAACAATGTAATTGTTAATCGTATCTGTTCAAATGAGCATTGTTAGAAATTACTCATCATACTTGAACATAGAGAATGAAGCATCACCCTTCCTTTAAAATCATTTCATTTATGATTAGTGTTGAGCACTTTGTTTGGGCCATTACTCCTGAAATTGATGTTCCTTTTAGTTCTGGGTCCTCTTTCTCTTTCACTTCCGTTTATTAAAAGCAAACTCAAAATGATAAAGTAAAATCGGAAAATAAATAAAATGCTAAGTTCAGTTTTTGCTGGAGAGTGGTAGTGTACACAAATTAGTCTGGCTGTGATTATTCATTTGTGCATTCGAATTGCAATTCTGATCACGATAGATGAATGTATTTACATGTGTGGATGTATTTCTGTGAATGTATAGTATACTTACATTCACACACATACAAAAACACACTCATGCGATGGATAGTACTGACAAAGAATACAAAGTTTATGATTGCTAGTTTTTATTTGGCCCCGTAATCTCACAATAATTTCAGCACCTTAAAAGATTAAGCATTCTTCATATCCTGGATGGACTTGTTAATCTGCACCTTCACGTTGGAAGCCATGGTTTTCTCCAGGATCTCTCGCAAAGCCTTCCTGAAGCCGGCGCTGTGAACGTCCTTCATATTGTTGCCGTCCAAGTTGCTTGCACTTTCAAGCAGGTCGTGACCCGATCTTTGCGGTGTAGCTGGCGATGTTCTGAGGCACAAGGTTGTCCAAGTTGATCTGGATATCTGCGAACAGCTTGTCCACACGCTCTACAACTTGACCAGAAACAGTCTGGGCTGGAGCTTCTCCAACACCGGCAAAGGTTACCGTGTAGTCGGCGTTGGCACGAGCGTTTTCCACGACAACCGAACCGGAGAGCACACTCTGTAAAAAGACATAATATAGGTCACTAATAATCAGATGATATATACTTAGCTTTAAGAAATAGAATATTCTTATCATGAATTTCCTTTCAGAACTCTGAAGTTGATGAGTTAAAAAAGTTAATGCCTTTAAGCTTATTTCATACATCTTTCTTTTCATTTGACATTCATACCTGGTCGGCGTTGAAGGAAGCGGACTTGGAGCGGCGCAGGGAGCAGAGTCCAGTCACGTTGGCCTTAGTGATGCTGAAGTTCTCGGAGCTGCTTCCGTCAGAGTTGACTTGGAAGGGCAGGTTTGACTCTCCGTTCTGCACGTTTTTGGATCCACACCATCCTAGTGCTCTGTTAAAGGACAACAGTTAGGAAGAAGACTAATGAAATCAGTATACAATATGATAAGGAATGATAACAGTGAAACAAAAATAACACCAAAAGACTACTAATAAAATTACTCCATGTATGCGATAGCTCCTTCGAGCACTGCGTCGAGTATCTGGTTGGGCGTGGTAGGGTTGGCGACGGCGCGAGGCAAGATGGGCTGAGAGTCTCCGCCGTCGGCAGGGAAGAGCCCAAGCTGGTCGTCCCATTGGTTGGGTCGTGCCACGCACACGGCCAAAGTCACTGCCAGGCTTACGATCCTCAACATTTTTACGTCTGCACAAATAGGATTTCAATAAAAGATGTATAAAAAAAAAAAATAAAAGTACAATTGTTATCAAGGACGTTAGGGATGTATATGTACGCATGTACAAATATTCATTTGTACATCTATTAATTCATTTGTTTAAAAGCCAAAGTATAAAAACGTGTGTATCCACTCCCAGTGCACCAAGGGACTCGCCTGGTGGTACCGTCGACTGTCCCGTGAGCTCTCTTACCATCCAATATATATCTGATATTTGCTGACAATGCAGCTTCTGAAATGGCATCAGCAAGGCTAAATTCTATTTAGAAGAAAACCTAGTGTGAAAATGAAATAGAAATTTCCTGAAAGGCTTTTTCAACATCTACATCTATGAATACATCGCGAATGACGTAATACGAATGTACATTAATTAAAGCGGGTGTTTTTCCTCGAAGAACACAAATAAACACACAGGCACACAAATATATGCATGTATGAAACTGTATATATATGTATGCTTATATACATATTCACATATTTACTTCGGCCAATTTATATGTATGTCAATATAGATACAAATAAATGGAATATATGTGTATATACACATATGTTCATATCTGTGTTTGTATATACTTATGCTGTGCACACGCACACGCATATGTATGTATATAAACATATGCATATACATATCTACATGTATGTATAAATATATTCATGTATGTATGTGTGTACATAAAGATATATGTGTGTATATATATGCATATATATACTTATATATATGTGTGTGTGTGTATACATACATACACATTTTGAAGTGGGATGGTCGGAATAATGCACCTACTGGGATTTTTGATGAAGGCGAGTTTATGTATTTTTCCAGCAAACGATTGTCATATTTTAGATTTACTAGTATGGCAGGTAGCGAAGTCAACATATCATACCGATTTGGTATTTGGTATTTCCAAAACGACAAAACCAATTATCTAAACCTCTCGCGCGAGGCTTGAAAAACGCCAATAATTTCTGTTCTACATAAGGAATGAAGTTTGAAAAGAAGGTTGATTCGTCAATATAAAAAAATCATAAATCGTATGACATAATAATTTATGATTTAATAATCCTCTTCATTATGGATTAAAACACACACCTAGTAATTAAGGGTATTTTTTTCTTTTCACGATTTCTCTCCCCTCTCTATCTTCTTTCTCTCACTCCTTCCCTCTCCTCTCATTTTCTTACCTCCTCCCTCTCTTACTCCTTTACCATTTATTTCTCTCGATCTATCTGACACTCTCCCCCTCACCTTTCCCTATCTTTTTCTCCTTCCCTTTCTCTCTTCCCCCCCCACTCTCCGTCTCCTTTTCTCTTTCCTCCTTCCCTCCCTCCTCTCTTTCCCTCTTTTTCACACACACACGCGCGTGCGTAAGCACCATACAGTCACACTTGTCACGACAAAAGACAGCGCTCTGTTGTTTCAGATAGCAAGCGGTCAATATTTCTTTCCTTATCGTACTGCAGACTAACTTGACCTACTGAATATATTGTTTACAGTAATACATTAGGATACTTCATTTATTTCACAATGTTTATAACATACATAATTTCATGGAAAACGAACATTTCAATGTAATCAGAACCATCCCACTCTGTCCGAATCACCACTAGTCGAGATAGGACGATTTATACATGCAGAATACATGCATTTCGTACATATGGACACACAAACACACGCACCCCCCCCGACACACACATATGCACACATACATACATATATACATACACACATGTATGTGTGTTAGTATGCATAAGGATACGCGTATATAAATGCATATGTTTCTATACATTTTATACATATAGAGAGGGAGGGAGAGAGAGAGATACGTATATGAATAGATATGCATATATATACATATATATATATATATATATATATATATATATATATATATATATATATATATATATATATATATATATATATATATATATATATCTGTGTGTGTGTGTGTGTGTGTGTAATGTATATTCAAATATATATTCATATATGTATATATATGTATGTATATGAATATAACTGTATATATATATATATATATATATATATATATATATATATATATATACACATGGATATATATATATATATATATATATATATATATATATATATATATATATATATATATATATATATATATATATATATATATGTGTATATGTAGTACTACACACATATTCGTACAGGAGGATACTCAGAAAATTGTATGGAATTGAAATCAATGCAGAAAAAGTTAATGCTCTAAATATTAACTGAATGCTGACACGTCCGTCTATTTCCTTCCCTCTCCAATTTACATATGATCAAATCAGATGAAATTAACAGATTCAAATTTCATTTAAAGCGAAATCTCTTTTAGTCAAATATAAATATATCATCAGCTGAGATTGAAGATTTTTTGCCGACAGACAAATTTTGAATGGAAAACAGTGTAAAAAAAAAAAAAAAATGTTTTCACAGGTGGTGCTTTAGTAGGAACAAGAGTTCTTCATTTCCAAAGGTCGTACGGCATTCTGAGGGATATATAAACTTCGCGGACGATTTCACATCACCAGTGGTAGCTATCCTTGGTGAGTAACGATTCTCATACCTCTTACCTGTCTAATAATCCGTCTTATGTGCTATTTTATAATTCTTGCAAAACATTTTTATGTAGTAGAAATGTGCCTTATAATGGATTATTGTTTTTTTCTTTCCGTACCTATAATAATCCCTTCGTTATTTTATCTCATTATTTCGTGGAAACTCTAAAGCGGGCTGTTTCGCACTATGATACTGTATAGGTTCAGGGTTTATGAAATGGATGTATTTCAAGATCTGTCAATTTCATACCACTTAATTAGTTATATTTCCTTCTAGATCACACCATGTTCACTTGGCTGATGCTCTCCTGCCTCTTAGGCTTCTCCCTGGCTGAGGTTCAGGTATGAAAACACTGTTGATATGCAAGTTAATATATATATATATATATATATATATATATATATATATATATATATATATATATATATATTATGTCACATATACAACATTTCAGTTTCTCTCTCATGTGAAACATACTTAATATTACAAAACATGACCGTTTTTCTTGGGAGGATTACCAAATATGTTACAAGGGAAACAGCGCCGCTGAAAACAGCTGCATGAAAGTGGATGTAGACCGCCTTGCCATGAAAATTCACTTCCACATGCCTGAATCCGACGACTTCGATGACGTGGAAACTCTGGAGGATTATAGTGTGGTAAGTAATACTTGTAAGGTCATCACTGGATACCATGATAAACTTTACGTTATTGTTTTGTTGAACTGATAATGCATGAGAAATTCTTCCAATGTATGAATTCAGTATTTAATGACACGGAGAAATAACCAGTTTATGAACTTCGCAGGGTCTAGCAGCATCTCGAGTTGTGTCCCAGGAAGCGTGTTACGTGAGGCGACTGGTTAAATCTTTCGAGCAACAAGTAGCCTTCATCAAAGGCCATCAGGATGATGGCATGAGGGTTGAGTCTGACGTCAGAGTTTCCGCTGTTTCCCTTGACAATCCTGAGGAGGAGATCGGCTCGGATCTTGCCAACTTCTGTGGCGACCTTCCCGTTTACAAACTGGTCACTGAAGAACAGAATGACAGTGTTCAAGACCGTCGTCAAGTGAGCGTCACCTTCACCCGCTGCGTCCTGCTGTGTTTCATTCCCACGTGCTTCACCACCACGCTCACGCTCCCCACTGGCTCCACCATCACTTTTGGCTGGCTCTTCTTTGGCTAAAGTGGCTGTTTAAGGAATATCGTTCACCTAATATAGGCAAACAGAAGTCTCTTTTACCTGTCTCGATGATGTACACTCACTTTTGATTAAAGATTATTGCATTTCAACGTGTATTTAATGTACATCTTATACAGAAAAGTTGGCATTCGCAAATTAGACATACAAGCGCACGCCGTGTGTACATGTTGAATATTGAAACTACTGCAATATGAACTAATAGCGAACGTGTTTTCTTGTTATACTGGTTTGTTTATTTTTATTTGTTATTTTCGGCATTAAGTTCTTTACCGACGCTGCACGTTAAGACGGAGCAAAGCAAAGTATATATTGTTCCTGTTCGAAATTTCATTGTGATGATTGTGCTTAGTCTTATCAAAACTCATAATTGCACAGAAGATAATTTTATTTTTGCTATTTATTATAGAATAGTGTCGTTACATTGCAAGAGTTTATGTGATTAGCTAAAACTAATTATTGCACAGAACACTGCTATGTTCACTGCACAGAGCTAGAAGCACCAACTCCTGACTAACTCCTGTTCTGTGTGTTAGTCTATCACTTGGTAAAGTACACCCAGCAGATTTAATGTGGCCAGGAAAAACAAGATGAAAACATAAACAATGTGTAACTGTACGACATAAATACTGAAGTGGGCAGCCTTATTTTTTACTTTTCGCCCCCCCCCCGGCAGATTTATTGTTGTTACACCCTTGTTCATGAGAAAATTCTCTGGACCCGCCCCTGCACCCAAAAATTTCTCAAATAAATCTGGAAAGGGGGGGGAGGTATGTGAGTGTTGATAAGTAGTTATGTATGTATATTTATTCACTTGTCTATATATGTATCGGTGTGTGTGTTCTATTTATATGCTTATATATTCAGTAATATATAAACATATATACGCAGACGCATGGACATATTTACATAAATATATGCAAACACAAACACCCATACATAATATAAATATGTGTGTGCGTGTGTTTACTTACATATATATACAAATACATACATACATACATACATACATATACATAATATATATATATATATATATATATATATATATATATATATATATATATATATATATATACATATATATACATGTATATTCTTATGTTATGTATGTATGTGTCGCGGTTCGCTTAATTGTAGATGTCAGCCTCCAGTAGAATTAAGCTACGGAATTCTATGGGTATC